GGCTGGGGGATTCTGGGAGTTGAAATCCACACATCTTCAAGTCGCCAAGGTTGAGGAACCCTGATGTAGATCTATAATGATATTATGGGTCCTGTCTATGGTCTACAATGCAAATGTTGATCTCCAAGTTATTTAACTCAATCCTGGGTTGCAAAGATGGTTGCAAGAGGTTAGACTGCCAAGAATTTCCTAGAGAAGGGTGCAGACAGCTTCTTTTCCTCCCCATCCTTCTGCTTGACTGGAGTCCAAAGATGTCCCCCAAACTGTGTTCACTTGGTTATACTTGCCTCTTTTCTAGATCTCACCAATTTTCTCCAAGTCTGCCTTGCTTGTAGCTCTCATTCAGATGGGATAAGACGAGCACTGCCAGCTGAGGTCTCCTTGCTATAGTCAGCTCTCTCATCTTATTTAAGGGGTGATTGTTGGGATTTATTTAGTCTGGGGTAATTCTCCGTCCTGGCTTCAGTCCTGGAGAAGAAGCAGGCCAACTCTCTCCCAGTTCTAGCGTCTTCAGCAGCAGCAGCAGCTGTAGCAGCAAATTAGCTTTGCTATTGCCCCCCTTTGCCACGAGTAGAAGACAGGGTTCTCCCCATATCCTAGACCAATGCTTCTCAACCTTGGCAACTTTAAGATGTGTGGACTTCAACTTCCAGAATACCGGCTGGGGGATTTCTGGGAGTTGAAGTTCACACATCTTAAAGATGCCAAGATTGAGAAACACTGCCCTAGAACATCAGTGGGTATCTTGAAGGCTCTGGCCAGGGATCACTGTAAGGCCCCAAGGCCTGACTTTCAAGGCTTGAGGTCCATCCTGCATCTTGGAAGGTTTTACCCCACATCTTAAGATAGTTCAGATCCTTTTCTTTCTCTCTTTCTCCCTCCGCAATGAGCTGCTGCTCCTGGAATGATTCAAGAACTGAAGCTTCTAACGAACTCCTCCCTTGCAATTTTACCTCTAGTATCATATCTAGGTTGAAAAACTCCAGATGGCAAGGAAAGGAAACCGGAAACTCAGACTTTGCTGCCATCTAGGGTCATCATCTGGATTTTTGCAGCCCAGATGTGATCACCTCGGTCTACGGAGCAATTATATCTTCTTTCTGATCTAATAGAGATATCTAGGAGTTTGCATTGCTAGAAGCACCCGTTACAGACATCAGTGCCCCAAATTTGTAGCTGGCATGGGCTTTGGCTGTGCCGGTGGGGAAGTCTGGGACATGAAGCCTAGTGCTTATGGAGAACACCAGTTGTGGAAGGATGTCTGCGTGTTCAGGGTCACCTATTTTTGCAATTTGCAAGTTCTTTGCAGTCTGGCTACCTTTGCTGGGCTACACAGGCCATTATCAGGCCTAGAAATCGAAGGAGGTAGAAATCCATCTGGCTGCTTTCTTTCCTCAGCCTCGAATCTACCACTGTATCCAATACACGGACCTTTACCCAATGGTTAATCCTCGGATTCCTGACGTTTTGGTGGAAGCCCAACAGATGCAGGCTTTAGCTGAGATACGGGGCATCCGAAAGGGCAAGAGATGGATGGCGCTGAGTGGCATCATGAAGCCCACCATGAAGAACCTGATGTCGCGCAGGAATGCGCTGGTTATCAAGGAATGACGCGCCAGCCAAAGCTTGCAGTTCTGCTCAAGGAAGCCCAGACTTGCAATCCTTTCCATGCCTGATCTGTTCCTGATTCCAGGTTCCTGCAGAAGAATGTTTGCAAATCGTTTAAGCAGCTGAAGCTTGAAAATAAATATAATAGTGAAAGTCCATGGCTTGGGATGGTCCCTCCAGCCCAAAGGAGGGTGGAGGGTCCCGGATGGAGAAGGCCGTTAAGGGCTGATGAATAAGCAACATTTTCAGATGCAGAGATTCTGGAGCATGCTTTAGATGGGTTCGTCAGTTTCAAAGGGAATGGCTTACTCTGCTGGGTCACTTCCCCCATGTCCAGCTGAGAACAAGCCCCGGGCAAGGGGCTGAATTGGGACAGTAACTTCCAGGGTTGGCCACGCTGGCTGGGAAGCTGGAGATCCAGCAACTTCCAGTCGGTCAAGGCTGACTTAAAGATACAAGAATGGTTTTGCTGGATCAGGCCTGATCTGTGGAATCCAGCATTCTGCTTCCCTCTGTGGCCGAGCTGATGCTCCGAAAGGCACTGCGTGTAGGAGCAAAGGTAATTCCTCACTTCATTCAAGGGTTGCTCCCTTTCTTCTGAGTATGTCTGTGTGCATATGTATGTACTGTAGATAGATAGATAGATAGATAGATAGATAGATAGATAGATAGATAGATAGATAGATAGATAGATAGATGATCAGAGCTAGATAAAGAGTTGTTCCTAGCAGGGAGAGCAGGTGAAGGTGGGTTGTCCTTCACTGGGTGTGTTCAGGTAATCTCTGGCCAGCCATTTCTCTGGGATGTTTAATCTAGATTCTCACACCGGGCAGGGGACCGGATTGAATAGCTTCGGTGGCCCTTGAAAGAAAAAAAGAGTTAGCTGAGCACACAAGTGAAGCTTTGGGTGGTTTTTAAAAAGGCCAGACAGTTTCTTGGGTGTGTAGCAATCTGGCCTCTATCTGGCATGGACCACTTTGGCACAGATGGCTTCTACGCTCCAGGATCCACTTGGCACGGCACGCTGGACGGACCTGATGGCATCGAGCTGAATTGCGTTCGTACCTCGTCCAGCTGACGTCCGTCCCCGTTCTGTGCGGCACAGGCTGGCTTTTCATTAGCCACCATTGTCCCTCCCCCGTGTGGTGGCCCTTTGATCCTCTGAGCCTGGCAACGGGCTCCAAACAGGCGGTGATGGATATCAGGGAGCCAGCAGCTTCCCTGGATCCTCGGCTGGTTTGGAGTCAACCATTCCTCTTGGGGATGTCCAGTTTGCTTGGGACTGGTGGCCAGTGAATGAAGATGAAGTGGCTGGGGGGGGGGGG